AAAGATGTGTAGTTCATTCAAATAAGTAACTTTTAGACACAAACTTGTTCCGAAAGCTCGCCCATAGGAGTAGCGGGAGTGTTCTGCTCTTCACCATCTCTCTGTCCATTTAAGCATCAGAGTTCTCCAAAACATCATGCATAGTGCACGTGATCTCCCAGACAAGGCTGTTTGTACAGAGTCACACTAAGGAACGACCCAAATTTAATTATTTTTTAAAAAATATGCGGCTTGGTAAAGGAACAATTTTTTTGTGGAGTGTAGGGACACAAATTAGCAGTTTCTTCAGCCGTATCAGAACTTGATATGTCAAAAATTTAAAACTTCAAAATTCCGTATATGTACACAACACAGGATTTAAAAGGTAACTGACCACTCCGACACTGTAACATGAATTCCTCCAGCCGATTGCAGGTAACACTGATTGGCCAGCGTAAGGAGGCTTGTTTATTTTACCCAGTATATGCAAATGTACGCGGTGATCATGCTTTGATCACGAATCTATCTTTGTATGGGTTACTTTGTTTGTTGGATGGATATAGTTTAGAATCTATAACTGAAGAATTGACAGAACAAGTCAAGCTCAGACAGACAAGCAGTGTTTCAATATTGAAAGCGTCTCATGTTTAACGTTTATGCTCAGGGTGCAGATAATACTAATAATATATACCATCAATGAGCCTTGTGTGTTTCAGACAACCTCCACTTACCCTAATCCCGTAAGATATCTCCTTGAAACGTGTTTCTACAATATAATGGAATATTTTATTCCTTTCTCACTTGAACTCATTTATTTTGTATCATATGTAATATGTATTTATATTGACACGAGTACCTTCGATTAATGAGCGTGCGTGTGTGGTAACACGAAATGAGGGACTTACCACCTCTCTGACCAGTGACTAAAAATCTGCCGGCACAACTATATAGCTCAACTAACCAAGGTATGTCATGAAAGTACAATACAGTGATATTATTTCTAATATAAAAAGTCTCAGTAACCTTATTATATACAGTCTGCTAATATCTGAGCTAAGCATATTTATTAAAATACCTATAATATATTCATTCAGCATCAAATGATTATTTTTTCAGCCAATAATTGTTTTCAAATAATAATTTTAATGTGTTATTTGAGTATATTCCTTTTGTGTTTAATAAAAATAATAATAACAGGTCTTTATTCATCCTAATGAGAAATAAACAATAATCTGTTTGAAATCTGTTTTTCCGTTAACCAGCTGTCGCACCCCTACGAACGACAATCCTCAGAAGTCAAAACTTGTGCGAGCTAAGGATGAACGAGGTCTCACCTTTCAACGTGTGATTCCTAACACGGGTTGGACGATAGCAAATGCAAATCAATCGTTCAGCCTGGGGCTCGAACCACCGACCAACACGGCAGTCAATTCGAGTGAATGAACAAAGCACCCACGTCGAACCGAGCTGTTACCCACCGACTACAATAAAAATATATAATGAAGCAAAATATGACGAACGGGCGAGGTTCAGCTATTATAGCCGATTTTAAAACTAACGTTTCAAAACAATACAAAAAAGTGCAAGGTATCATAAATAAATGAATGACAGATGATAAAAATAATAATAAGTCCAACAATCGCGGTAAGGAAAAACAAGATCTGAGAAGTCGAAACCTTTATGATAGCCTGAGGAAAGTAATATAATGTTAAATTATTGCCTCATTCAGATTAGAGCTCGGAGAAAGTATTGAAAACTGCCAAGTGGAATATGAATCAATGAGTCAAGATGAGACTGAAATATATGACGGATCTATTGATAACGAATATATTAGTTCAAATGATATCGATGAACAACAGTGCCCAGTCAAAGGCGGTAGAATGGTTAGAGCTGATGAATCTTGGAATAACGAAGATATTAGTGAGGAAGGTCCCATGACTGAAAACTATACGTTCGAAAATGGACAGGCGAGAAAAGTATCAGGAGAAGAAGCTGAACAAATCAAAAACAAGAATTCGCTGGTTCAAATTTATCAATGTCCAAAGTGTTGTTTGAAATTTCCTGAAGTAGATCACTTCATGAAACATTTATGCGACCCCAGTAAAATCAGTCACAAATTGAAATGCATTCATTGTAATGCTGTGTTCTCCAACGATCAGTCTTTACATGCACACATGGAGTCTCATTCGTACAAAGAAAAAGAAGAAATGGTAACTAACGTTGTTACTCTAAGCCCGCATACCTGCAATATTTGTAAAACAATGTTTCCTTCTTTCAAGAGTCTTCGATTGCATCAAAAAATGCATGACCCGGTGAAAGAGAAAGCTCTTGAAGCGCCAGTCAGTTACTCGTCAGGTGTTGAGTGTGATTCTAAACCAGTAGTTCGTCAAATATTTGTTTGCAATATATGTAACAATACTTATGACAAAGAATATGAAGAAGTTCATATGAAGTCTCATGAAGAGGGAAATCAGTTTGACTGTACTATCTGCAATCGTAAGTTTCATTCACAGGAAAATTTGGAAATGCACACCAAAGTTCATTATAACACTAAAAAAGTGTTCACTTGCTCGTACTGTAAAAAGGCTTTCAATACCGAGGAAGCTTTACAAGATCATGTAGCAACGCTTTGTCAGCCCAGACAATATGTATGTCGATATTGTGGTAGACGATTTGCAAGGCCTCACGAGAAGGTCAAACATGAACGAATACATACAGGAGAAAAACCTCACGTCTGTCAAATTTGTGGGAAATCTTTCCGAGTGAGTTATTGTCTAACCCTGCATTTAAGAACACATTCTGGTACAAGGCCATACAAGTGTCCTCATTGTGATAAGAGATTCAAATCACACAGCGTTTACAACCATCATATGCTCACTCATTCAGATGTGAGAGCTTATAAATGTACGTACTGCCCCAAGGCCTTCAAAACTAGTGTGCAGTTAGCCGGGCATAAAAACAGCCACATCAAACCGTTTCCTTGTACAGAATGCAATCGTCCTTTCGCTTCATTATATGCTGTAAGAACTCATATGGAAACCCACAAGAGGGAAAATAATTTGAAATTTGATTGTTGGTTGTGTGGTGCAACCTATGCCAGAGCATTCGCTCTCAGAGATCATGTAAGAAACCACCATACGGATGAGAATGTTGTAATTAATGATGATGTAAATGATCCCGATCATGCTGAAACTCAAGAGAGTACTTCCCAAATTCAAAATGAAATGGAACACAGTGAGTGAAGACCGTACAGTGTGTAAAAGCCAATTGGAATAAATTCATTATTTAAAATCCCGAAAAATGTCTACCTTCAACCCCCTTTGTTTGGGGTTGTATCTGTCGAATGACAGATACAACCCCAAATTCTTTAGATGGGAAGTATAGACTTGTGATATATTGTTTGAAAGGTCTCTTCATTTTCTATTCAAAAATATTATCGCTTTCAAGTTTATTGCAACAATTAAGATAATGCAAAACATAATGAAATGTAGAATACGAAAAAGAACAATGGATTTTAAAAAAGAAGATGCTCAAAAAGTTCAACGCAAACGTCTTGGCAACATCCTAATCTCAAATAAAACTGTCTTTTAACATTATTTAACAGGAGTTCAATCATCTGCTCAAAATACTCTCCGAAAACATCAGCTGTCATCTCCTCGTGATAGTCTTTTGTGCTTTTGGATTCAAATTCCAACAAACCATGCTTAGCAAATCCTTTTTCACTGCCAATGTGAGAAACTATTAATCTACTGCCTTTACCAGAGGGTGGGGAAATACCAGTAGACCAACCTTCCATAAAGGCTTGCCTGGAGCTTGATATATTTTTATCTGTCCAAATTTTTGTGAGAGTATGACCTGCGTTTACCCACGTTTCGTCCTGATAGTAAATTGGCCTTCCNAAGAGGTTGCAATACAACCAATGCTGAAGATGCATTTGTGTAGGGGCGTGCGTGGATGCGTGTGTATATGGGCGAGCGTGTGAATGTGTTCCATGTATTGGCGCGTGCGTGGATGCGAGTGTGTGTGTTTGGGCGAGCACGTGGATACTGTACTGAGTTCTCTACAAGTTTTATTGTGTTCATCAGAGCTTAAATATCAGCATGGTTAAATTATGTCTGAGTATAAGAAAATTGTGTAAAAATTTCTGGTTGAATGAGTAATAACAATGAAAGTGGTTTGAAAATTAAAGAAATGTCATTTATGACGTTAGATTATGACCAAATTTACTGAAATCAGATTAACAATGTTTTGTTTGTTTCAATAAAACTTCGATTGTTAAGTAAAATATAATTATTTTTATCACTTGTCTCTGTGACATTTTAAATTAATCATTTTTTCAAACAGTTCCAGAAACAAAATTGCAAAGAACTTTTCTACATTATCCACTACTTCGCATGTAATTAATGAATAAGTGTATTCTCACAGATCATTGAATTATGTAATAGATAAAAAAAGAAATAAATATATTGAAAATTATGTATATCAGGCTATCAAAAGACTTATTGAATTGACTCAAATAACTAATGCTATAGGATATGTCTGGTCTCGTTATTACACAGATACATTAGGCTGCCAATCAGCTGTTGATAAGGGACTGAAAAAGTACCTTTTCAAATGTTATTTTGATATCCACAGCTTTGAAATTGATCATGGTTTGACAATAACCATTCGATATATTGTGACTGATCTAAAGTTATAACTCGTTTAACTTTATCAATACCGTATATTACCCATATACATAAATCAATAAACATACCAACCCTACTTTGGAATTTGAAGTATTACTGATTTTAAAGTGATTGAACTTGCGCAAATAAAGTAGATATTGTGTCCTCACCTTTGCGACTATCCTAGTCTAGAAATATAGTTAAGGGCAGAAATTGGCCCTTGGAACAAACTGAAAAAATCATTATGGCCCGAAGACTGCTCTAAAATATATTGTTGACACTGCATGTCAGTATTTCATGGTATAGTTTTTTTTTTATTTTATTTTATTGTATTATAATTTTGTTATTCATTTTCTCAAATTGTAACTTTGTAATTATAAGGATCTATATTACTTTTTTAACATACTTAGTTAACCCTGTAA